AAAGGCTTGAACCCCCCAATGGTAAGTTATTCCAGCGGATAACTGTACTTTGTCCTACCTTCAGCAGGGAACCACAAATTGTAAGGGTGGAAGTAGGACACCGTTGAAGCGGTATAGTCGAGCTCGATCGCCTGATGGAGCCAAGAGGACTTTGACGACTGTGAGAAGAAGCACGCTGAACGATTCAACGTTTTCGTAAGTCTCTACGGTGTAAAGATCTTTTAATCATCGCCCTCATTGAGGTATCGCCAACATCAGGGGCTTTCAAGTAACTCAGATGCAGCTGGTAAGCATGGATCTAGTTTGTATAACTGAATCATTGCTCAGGACAGCGTGGGACAGTAGCAACGCTCCAAGGACCAAAAGACGTGCGGTCACGAGAGAGTCGATCCTCGGCATCTTCAGCATCATCTCTGTCCGGTCGGCAACCCAAACGCAGTCGGCTTGGCCGATAGTCTCTGAGATCATGCTTGACCATATCCACCGATGTCGCGTTAGTGTTGCTGTTGGGGTCATGAGGTGAGCGCAGTGCAATTGGAGTTTTTCATACCGATGAATCCGAAACACGTTAAGGGTTGCCTACACTCGATCACAAGCGCACCACTCAATCTGCCTTTACCACAAGCTGTTGAGATCATCCATCGATGTCCGGCTCTTCCTGAGTTTTGGGGTATTGGGAAACCTCCAATGATGAAAAAGCTGGTATGGACGCTCTGGTGTGCAGCGGATTTTTGGTCAGGTGAGTGGCCTTCGGGAATGTGGCCTGAATCCACACAGAGCCATCATAGCGAACCCTAGGCTTGTTCTTACAGCTTCACACGATGAGAACGGAATATTAAATGGTAAGCCAAAGCCAACTGCATGAGCAGTCATCGTTCCTATCAGAGCTCCCAGCTAGAGCGGCATTGCTACGACGTATGGGGGTTAGTGAGTATGATGTTCCTTATTACTTGACTGCCGACAACCTACCCGATGAGCACACGGTTGAGAAGGAATTCGAGGCAGCTGTCGGTGGCGGAAACCAGTCGACTGTTGGAGGGAGTCCGTCTGTCAGGGAATATCGGAGGCTGTCGAAATTGTGACGGAGCTCGGCGACATCTCCAACGTCGAATTCCGTAGAGCTCTTCGCCACCGACCTTCCGAGACGAAGGTCGACGAAGCAATACTTAAAAAACGACTTCTCGTAAGGCGCCTGTGCGTCCAAGTTGAAGTGGCTCCTCAGACTGGATCATCCGACAATGACAACGTCTCCGAAAAATGCGATGAACTCCCAAAGAACGGTGCACCACATGAAGGCGATAAGTACGCATACCATTACGGCCGGCTCTTGAAGTTTGACCCGTTTCAGTGTTCCCAAGCCCAAGACGAAGCTGCCGAAGTCCACGATAGACTCTTACGCTCTGACAGAGGCTCTCAGAGTCATTGCTAATGATGAGGGGCTAACTACCTCCTCTGAGCTGGCTAGGCTATGGTGTGAAAAACATGCTGATAGAAACGTCCTACTCAAGTGTGACAGAACGGTTGTCGAGGTTTTTGCTGAGGTGTTTTTGCGGAGTCAACCACCACCTGCGTCCAGCATGAGCGAGTGAATCACTGTTGTTTCTGTTATTAGCTTTAGTGTTGGGTTCTATGAAGTGTAGCATGCCCACTTTGCAGTGGGGGAACAGCGAACCTTGTACTGGCCAGTTAACGCAATAGTGATCGAGAAATCTTGTAGATTATTACATATAAGCTAAAATATATATCTAACAGAAGACCACAGTCGAACCGCCGCCATTGCCGCTATCACCGGTAAGGCAATGAAGAGCAAAAACCGGATAAGTATGCGCGGGTCGTTTCGAGACCCATGGTCTGGAATATCAATGCTCCCTTCTTTCGTTGAACGCGGAGCCACACGCAGACTTGATTCAAACTTGGTAAGGATGATATTCGAGATAAGCAGTTCAGACTGAGATCGCCAAGAATAGATCGATAAAGCTCCCACGTATTCGGCATCGCTGGCGAACTCCATAGCGCCATTCAAGACGCCGTTTGAGTAGAATACAACGTACTTGCTGGCGAAGTCGATGAAAAAAAGGAAAGTGAAAGTTGTGTTACCTCGGCAATCCTCCACTGGTACCTACCAAATGACAAAATTAGAAGGTCGATTAGATGGTCAATAACGTGGACTCACTTCCCTCCTTCGAGAGCCTCGTAATGTTGGCATACCAGCCGGTTTTCGAAGCACGAATCTCCAACCAGTTCGATGACCATCGTATACTAGTTGCATGATAACACCTTCTGGTCCCCAATTACGGATGCCTTCACTTAGAACCTTCCAAAATATAACAACAATAGGCTACTTTATGGCTCACAACGCAAATAGATGTCGCATCGATGTCGTTCACTCTCAGCTCGATTTCCAACCAATAATGTTTGGCCGGGTGAGAGGCGTCATTCTCGAACGTGCGATATACTCCTTTGAAGCCTGAGGAAATAAAGCAATGAACCGGTACCTAAAGGACGTACAACTCACCCTGCCAGTCAGTTCCTCCGCTCAGTCTGAGCCACTTGCTACGGTTCTCTCGTTCGATCAACTCGATGGTGTTCAACTCAGGGCACTTGAGGCTTGGCCCCCGCTTCCAGTTAAAATGACCGTTGAAATCCTCGTACCTTGACTTGGCCGTTACCAGACGATGCTACAGGGATAACTACATCAAACAACGGTCTCTTTTAGCCATGTCTATCCACGATTTCACTCTATGGGGGTTCCATCCCCGTTCCCGACAGAAATACATTCTTAGCGGGCTTGAATCTAATATGCTGGTCTTCATCTCTCTCGAGCTCGCACCGAGATTAAAGATATCTTCGACTCGTAGATGCACAAGTATGATATGGAGAGGGAGTGATTCATTAATTGGTAACAGATTCGGCAATGCATTCATACTGTTGGATGTACTCAAAATCCCTGCCGGAAGTGGAGGAGTGATTGACCAGTCGGCATTTTCCAAATTCATGAGGACAGCGCTGCAATTGAACAGCACACGTCGATCGGATTGCATCTCAATTTTAAAGCGAAATCTCGATCGCCCCGAGAACGCGTATACACCGGTGACCGCAGTTTCCCTCGTAGGTTACTTCCAACACAAAATGAAGGGGCATATAACGGCGATGACTCATTGTAAACAGTCATGGAAGTAAATCACAGGAGTCACAAGGATGCTTACACCTACTGCTGTTCTCTTACGTAAAACATGGGGTTACATTATGCTCGGATGGACGATGCCTGAGAGAACACGGTTATATAGTCGCTGGACTGCCCGAAATCCTGACGCTATTTAAAATAGGTCGCCACGAATGTGAACGAAGTTCGCTAACGGTGCTGGCCAAGGCAACATCTGCCAGTTGAGCGTATAGGTTACCTGCGAGCTTCGTGCCGTTGAACGTCTGCCAACAGATAGCCCAGAGATGCTCGTAGCCGCGTCTCGTTTCCTCGAGGGAGTAGGAGTGTTTGGCCCCAGACCGGTGGCCAGCTTCTGAGATCCAATAGACCCGGTTTCACTTGAGCGCGATGAGCAGGCCGAGCCATGTCGTGATCGGGTCTTGTGTGCGTGCGTCCCGCTTGAGCTTGTGTCACAATATGAAACTGAGAAGGCAGGAGCAGCGTGTGCTCGTCTCCTGGACAAAAGTCATATTGCCGAACGAAGAATGATGTGTTCAATGTATAGTGTGCTGTTCCAAACAGGCTGTTTTACTCATACGGCCTACCCTCACTGCTGAACTTGAAGTTCTCCTTCACTTCATATGGAGTTCTACCAGACCATGGATGCTCGCAGCGGAACATCAGTGCCTGAGCAGCGGTTATTATTCATAGCCTAGGTCGCGTAGCAGGCCATGGTGCTGCAGATCAGAGTGACTACTTACTTGGTATCTCTTCTTCATCTCCGTACGGTACTCTGAGTTAACTTCATACAGCGCAGCCATAGCTGCCACTGGAGTGGTACCTGGATCAGTCATCAGATATCATCAAATATCACCGAGCAGCCAAGTTCTGGTCGGTGACAAATTTCTCAACGCTCTTATCTTACACTTCTTCTGATTCGCTGTTTTCTTTTGCACGCGGCAAGGCTGCATCAACATCGATCCATACTGAGGACAGATGGTCGACAACAAAAATTATGGGAGCTCTTCTCACCTGCGACTTATACCGTACTCCTGCAAAATAAAAGCCGCCCGAGTGGTAGTCCGGTACACGCGGGCCGTGGTGGGCATATGTGTTAGGTGAAGACGTGAAGGCAGACATGGTTATACAAAACAACTAAGGCAGCCAGGATGAGAGAAGGCAATTGCCAGGATCAACGTGACGACCTTCTGGTTACAAAGACGCTCTACCACTAAGCTAAAGTGGCTGACGAGAAAACAAGATGAAAACCACCCATGCCTGTATAGGACGGACCAACTTACTCGACTTCTAGAGTTCGCATTGTAGTGACCTATAATAAGGCACTAGCCACTTACCAGGATTGAACTGACGACCTTCTGCTTACGAAGCAGACGCTCTACCACTAAGCTAAAGCGGCTGACGAGAAAGCAAGATGAAAACCACCCATGCCTGTATAGGGCGGAGCAACCTACTTGACTGCTCCAGTTAGCATTGTATTGACCGGTAATAAAGCACTAGCCACTTCCCAGGATTGAACTGACGACCTTCTGCTTACGAAGCAGACGCTCTACCACTAAGCTAAAGTGGCTGACGAGAAAAAAAGATGAAAACCACCCATGCCTGTATAGGACGGAGCAACCTACTTGACTGCTACAAATCGTACTGTAGTGACCGGTAATGAGGCACTAGCCACTTGCCAGGATTGAACTGACGACCTTCTGCTTACAAAGCAGACGCTCTACCACTAGGCTAAGGTGGCTCACGAGAAAAAAAGATGAAAACTACCCATGCCCGTATAGGACGGAGCAACCTACTTGACTGCTCCAGTTCGTATTGTATTCACCGGTAATAAGGCACTAGCCACTGGCGAGGATCGAGCTGACGACCTACTGCTTACAAAGCAGACGGTCTACCACTAAGCTAAAGAGGCTGACGAGAAAACAAGATGAAAACCACCAATGCCTGTATAGGACGGACCAACTTACTCGACTGCTAGAGTTCGCATTGTTGTGACCGCTAATAAAGCACTAGCCACTTGCCAGGATTGAACTGACGACCTTCTGCTTACGAAGCAGACGCTCTACCACTAAGCTAAAGTGGCTGACGAGGAAACCAGATGAAAACCACCCATGCCTGTATAGGACGGACCAACTTACTCGACTTCTAGAGTTCGCATTGTAGTGACCTATAATAAGGCACTAGCCACTTACCAGGATTGAACTGACGACCTTCTGCTTACGAAGCAGACGCTCTACCACTAAGCTAAAGCGGCTGACGAGAAAGCAAGATGAAAACCACCCATGCCTGTATAGGGCGGAGCAACCTACTTGACTGCTCCAGTTCGTATCGTATTGACCGGTAATAAAGCACTAGCCACTTGCCAGGATTGAACTGACGACCTTCTGCTTACAAAGAAGACGCTCTATCACTAAGCTAAAGTGGCTAACGAGAAAATTAGAT